AATAAACACATACAATTAAATACGGGATATATACTCCCAATATGAAATCTACACAAATTGGCCTCGTTTAATAATACGTATAATTTTACCCTAAATTACATCAATGAAAAATCCTTTCTTTTTAATTTACCTTATAAACGAACTCAACTAAAAACACTTTAATTTTTACCATAAGGATGTGAAAAATGAACAACGTTTCCTGAAGTTGATCTCTTCGAAAAAATGGACTTGGTTTCTTCTGTACAATGGTTGCACCTTGGATCGACTGAAATGCGGATTGATTTCTGGATCGCATGTCTTAACATCGCATATAAAATAGAAACGGCATCGAAAATGTTTTGGATAATGATTCGTTGGGGGCCTACCTTAGGGTGTAAATAGCCAGGAAAACCTTTTACGGAGAGACGCTATCATTCTGCGAGATTATGGCTTAACCTTTATGCGGGTGCGTGGGGATCATTATTTAAACAGGGGATTTATCAATTGGAGGAATTAATCAGGGGTTATATTTGAATTTTAACGTAATCGTGTAGCTGTAGAATGTATGGGAGTATTTTGTATTGAGGTAAAATAGTCATTGAAGAACAACATAGTGATATTTTGTTATTTGCTTTTATTTTATTTATTTATTTTGCCCTTATTTTTGAGTGGGTGGGGTTTCAGCCAAGGCTGCTGCTTTCATTGCTACTCCCCCCGTATGTTCTCAGTTTTATAGAGGGATGAGAGTTAAGCTTTTAAAGAAGCTGGGTGGCGCTCAACTTCATGGCAAGTCGCAATGTTTATGGTCGAAATGAACCGCCGCGCGCCGTGAGGAATCTCAAGCCCTTTTTGTTTCATAACTCTGAACTAGTTGGCCGTTTATGTGGCGGGTTTGAGTCAAAGCACTGCCAGCTTAACTTACTTTTATAAACTAGTCGTCTCGATTACTTGAACGCGAATTAATTTCTTCCGCAACGACGCGTTCGTTCAACCAGCGAAGAACGAAACCTTCCTTCAAAAAATCCTCCCTTTTTACTCATTAATTAACCACACCTATAAAAGGGCTTCTTATCAACTAATATCGGGAACATTTAAACGTTAATTTGTTCACTTAAATTCCACCGCATACAAATCAAATTAGAGTGTTTTCCAAATAGACTCAATCTGCAAGTTCCATGATATTGAGTCTGAAAGTGTAACCCAATCAATTAAAAGATGAAATACGATACAAACTCCATACTTTAAAGCTCCACTGATTTCTGAAAGCCTCATAGAAATAAAAATGACGCAAAAGTAAATGCATATTCCTTGCACTGCAGTTTTATAAGAGAACACCAAATATTGTTTCGGAACGGTTGTTAGGTATTCACTAACCGCCATTTACTCCCTTTCCAATCATTTGTTCTTCTAACTTTGTAATACGATTAAACTAAACTAAAAAGTTAAAAAGTAAAAGTACCGCAAATTGTGCCTTTGGAATGGCTTTGCTAAATCCACTTTTTAACTAGCAATGTTGGAAACTACTTATCCGGCCTTTTTGTAAACAGCAGCAGGTAATGTAAATATTTGCCGCTGCAAGTGCGGACTCTAATTGCGTATTAAAAAAGAATCTTCATCGTGAAATGGTTTTCTGCAACTACACCGCAGTAAACCAATTCCGATTCATTAAAATTTATGAGAGTCATCCGTTGGAAGTGTTCTCTCAGAATAATTAAAAAAAAATGGCAGGTAACTAACAGAAGTACCTTTCGAATCCCAGTTTAGGTTCGTTTGCCCTTGTATAATTAGTTTATCAATTTCTTCAATCTCATGCTGAATCAATTGAAATTCAACATCCTTGCTTGTACGCCTAATTTTATTATACCAATCGATAGTTGAATCTAAATTTATGATGTACTGCCGAAACGTATCGTTTCTTTCGGATATTAGCAGAGCTTCTTCCGGTATGTCTTCGTGATCCATTATTTTCAAGTAATGGACTTCTCGTAGAATTGCCGATAGCTAAAAGTAAAGTTTTATATCGTCATGTTTATCTAGTTGTAGAATTACCTGAGGGTTAAAGTTTAACTGCAATTCTTTAGACTTCACATTTCGCTTTAGGAGAGATTGTTTTAAATTTACATTAATTTGTTCGGGCACCGCTTTGGCCCACTGCTTAAATAGCTCATCGTCAAACTCGTAAAGTTTTTCTGTCAAATTTTCGTACTTCTTAATGATCTCATCAGCTTCCGATGTTTTGGTTATTCTAAAAGTTAATGTCGACGGGTCATTAATGAAAGAAACTTAATTAGCAACGTACGGATGTTGCAGTGCCTTAAAGGACAAAATGGGTGCAGATATTCGTTCACGTAGATTGTGAGTCCAACGCAATGAGCCCGCAACCGGAGGCATATACTTGTCTAAACGAAAATGTCCATTTTTTTCTTTATGAACCATTTGCTCTTGTACTAATATCTGAAACACAAGCTTTGATGGCTTTACTTTTTAAAACTCAAAACTGACGTCGCCTTAATCACACCACGTGAATTTAGGATTGCCCTATTTTACTATAGCGCCGCACCACGCCGGTTCAATTAATTTAATGGAGACCACAAAAATTAATACTATTATAACAGTCTAAAGACCCATTAATCAGTTACGTAGAAAATCTCTAATTAATAAGTAGTGTGAGTAAGACGACATCGGTCATAAGCGGGAATCATACTTCTGCCGTGTCCATTTCTTCATTTAACATGTCCAAAATTTTAACATATTTGCTCGTGAATTCCTCTTTTATTAGTGGCCTGTCGAGTACCGATCCAACAATGCTTATTAACTGAAAAAAATAGTCTAATTGATTGAAGGCAACAGATCATGTAGTGTCCCCTGATAAGATAAACACAATTGGGTTCCATTTTGGTAATAATTTTATATTACAATATTAATACATGGTATACAGCACACGCCTATTTTGGCTTGTGCTTATTGCGACAAAAGGTATACCCTGTAGATCAGGCATGGGCAACCTTTTTTCCAAGGGGCCAAATCCGCCAAAATAACATTTTTCATATGCGTCATGTCACGGGCCAGAGTTGAAAATCCAAATAAAAAGTATGTTTAAAGAAATCAATAATTATATATTTCTGCTTGGTCTTTTTGTCTATTTTTTGCTTTCGTAAAAATAATTAAACCAAAAAACAATAAGTACTATTGAAAACTGACACGATTTTTTCCGGGTCGATCTGAGAACATTTTTTTTCGGGCCTCAAAAAAAGGCAGTGTATAACCTTCCTTTTTTACCAAAAATCGACTGCACCAACATTTCTCGGGAAAACACTTTTTCTTATTAATTTTGGTGCGTAGAAACCAAAACAATTCGTACTTTTTCGATCAGGCTTCTCAATCAAAAGTTATCGACTAGAAACCAATTTCGAAAGAAAATTCAAAGGGCTGTAACTTTGGAACTAATAGTCCAATCTTGGAATTGTTTGAAATTATGGATTCGACAGGTCACATTCTATAAGAAATTTTTTTCCGGGTCGATCTGAGACAATTTTTTTTTCGGGTCTCAAAAAAAGCAGTGTATAACCTTCCTTTTTGACCAAAAATCGACTGCACCAAAATTTCTCGGGAAAACACTTTTTCTTATTAATTTTGGTGCGTAGAATCCAAAACAATTCATACTTTTTCGATCAGACTTCTCAATCAAAAGTTATAGACTAGAAACCAATTTCGAAAGGAAATTCAAAGGCTGTAACTATTGATCTAGTAGCCCCAATCTTAGAACTGCTTGAAATTTAAATGGATTCTACGGCACATCTATAAGAAAATTTTTTCCGGTGATCTGAGAACATTTTTTTTTCGGGCCTCAAAAAAGCCAGTGTATAACCTTCCTTTTTTAACCATAAAATCGTACACACAAATGTCTCGGAAAGACTTTTTGTTATTAATTTTGGGTGCGTAGAATCCAAAACAATTCGTACTTTTTCGATCAGACTTCTCAATCAAAAGTTATAGACTAGAAACCAATTTCGAAAAAAAATTCAAAGGCCTGTAACTTTTGAACTAGTAGCCCAATCTTGGAACTGTTTGAAATTATGGATTCTACAGGCCACATTCTATAAGAAAATTTTTTTCCGGGTCGATCTGAGACAATTTTTTTTCGAGCCCCAAAAAAAGTCAGTGTATAACCTTCCTTCTTTACCAAAAAATCGACTACACCAAAAAGTCTCGGGAAAACACTTTTTCTTATTAATTTTGGTGCGTAGAATCCAAAACAATTCGTACTTTTTCGATCAGACTTCTCAATCAAAAGTTATCGACTAGAAACCAATTTCGAAAGAAAATTCAAAGGGCTGTAACTTTCAAACTAATAGTCCAATCTTGGAATTGTTTGAAATTATGGATTCTACAGGTCACATTCTATAAGAAATTTTGTTTCCGGGTCGATCTGAGACAATTTTTTCTTCCGGCCTCAAAAAAAGGCAGTGTATAACCTTCCTTTTTTTACCAAAGTGGAGCCTATGATTTGACGGTTCATTAATTTACTTACCAACCATTAATTATATCAATGATGTCATTACAAACGACTAATTTTGCTATACAGTTTAGTATTAATTTGTTGGCTGGTTTTTTTTCTTGGTCAGCTCTTTTTTTCCCAGCCTACTCGGTAAACTGCCATTTTTTATATTTAAATTCTACCAACTCCCTAAAGTGAAAAAGAGCTTATCGTTGCTGATACAAGTCGAGTACTTTTCAAAATTAATAACCTCACTAATTAAAGAAGAACACCACAATCACAAAATAAACGACTTCATACCGGTAAAAGAGGGAAGCTATAATTGTGTCTGGCCCGGCCGATTCAGTATGAATTCCGCCAATTGACCGTGGGAAAATTCTAGAGACCATGACCGTGAATTTTGGCAGTTGGCCCGAGTGCGAGATCATATTTTGGCAGTTGGCCCCGGGGTGCTATATTTTTCGCAGTTGGTTCGGGGTATTTCGGCGGTTGACCCGGGATTTTAACAGTTACAAGCTTGACAAATGAGTCCAGATTATGGCAAATTGAGATCTGATAATTTGATAAAGGGGTCTGTTTATCGATAAATAAATTTTTTGTAGACGGGAAGATTCGAACCTTCGATCTTTGGATTAGCAGGAGCCGCCTTACTCACTAGACCATGACTGCTTTTTGATAACAAACGGTAAAATACTGTAGAAGTTTGTTCATTAGAAGAAAGCCAGTCATTTTGCAATTGTGCATTCACGGACTTGTTGTTGTATGTTTAGGATTGCGTGATAATAAATTGTTGCGAGAGATTAGTGATAAGCACTTACCTTAAAAATACTTTCCAAATTGCAACAATCTTCAAACGCCTGGCACAAGATTGAAGATAGTTTTAAATCTAATTCAAAAATTTTTTGCTTAAACGACTCAAATTCCGCCAAAAACGAATTGTCGTCCGGATCGAGTACATCGTGCGCTTTTCCGGAAAATAGATGGAAACATTGTTGAAATTCCGCGGACACTCCAGTAACCTTTGCGCTTAACATTCTTCCCTTAACTCCTCCAATCTCCACTTTTTCGAGCTTGGTAAATTCCAACACGGTATTGAAAAACCATTGAATTGTATTCAACCGATCCAAGAAGACGTTAAACCTCTCAAAGACTGTATTGGGATGAAAAGTCCAAGGCTTTAAAGGCTTATCCCTGAAAAAATAGCCCAAGTTTTCTTTATACAGTTCGAAAGTTCTGGTGAAATGCTTTAGGATGTTTACGGATAAATTGACCCGTTGCATTGCTTCATCAATGTCACTGTGGAATAAAGTTGTGGGATCCAGAAATCGTTTGGCCTACAAAAATCGCTAGTTATAGTCTGTTGTAATAACTTACGTATAGTACCTGGTAGATGAGGAGATTGCATATCTGCTTTAAAAGCACTATGAGCTTCACTTGGTCAAAATACTGCGAATTGGACCATATCAAGCACACGACATGAACTAATGGACGTACTAGGGGCATCGCATCGCTGAAGTCTGTGTCTTCTAGCAAAACTAGATGACGTTTAAGTGGTTTTAGATACAAGTTGATATCTTTAGCCTCTGCCAAAGATATGACAACGCTCTTGAAGAGGTTTTTAAAACAACTATAGTAAGCGCTGTTCGTCTTCTCTAAAATTACACCCATACTGCGGACCTTTTGTTCTCGCAACTGTTCGTAAATGAATTGCAAATTCTTTAAACGCAAACTCCAGAATTGCAGTTCTGAAAACAATGGAGAATTACTATCCTGGTGCTGTTCGTGAAGCTTGCACTGGGAATAGCACGAATTACACAGGACAATGTATAATATGTATCCGTTTTTTAGTTACTCATTGTTAGTGTTTTAGTTTTTCATTGGTACCTACTAATGTTATTCCAAAATGAAAATCGTTTATATGCATATTTCCATGAATCATCAGGTCAAACGCAATTTTTGATTCAAGCAAAGCAACGATACACGATACTGGTGATCCGGGCCCAAGTGTCCTGACACCTGATACGCTCTTAGATTTTTTTACAGGATTTGAGTGTTTAGAGTGGCACGTTTAAAAAGACAGACAGTATGACAGAAAATGCATAAGTGAAGATAATTAAAAAGTATAACAAAACAGAACGATTTTTGGACAGCAGCAACTGTCGAATTTGATCTCCAACATTCAAAACTATTTCATACAATTTCAAGTAGAATTAACTCAAAATGCAAGCATTGGAAACCCTGGCGGAAACACAAGAAGCAAGGCCTGCCTGATGGCGACCATAGACGTAGAGAACGCCTTTAATATGATAAGCAGAAAAGCTATGCTGGGGGGACCTACAGCAAAATGGGGGTACAACCGAGAGGGCAAAGAGCACAAATTCATTTCAACAACTGGGGCACCACAGGGCTCCGTACTCGGCTCCGTACTCGGTTCCGAGTTATGGAACGCTCTCAGGATCCGGGTATTGGAAGGGTGTGCTGACTACAGTTGCCACGGACAGAGACTTGGAACTGGCCGTCACAGAAGTACGAAGAACTGTCAGGCTTATACGGGAATGGATGGAGAATGGGAATCTTACACTCGTCCCGGAGATGACGCAGATAGCATTGTTAACTGGGCGGAGACGGTTACGATAGGCGAGTGGCAGAGGAAATGGATAAAACCGGATATCAAGCAGTGTGTTAACCGGAATCATGAAGACACTCTGACCCAATTTCTTACGGAGCATGGGGAGAATGGAAAGTATTTGTACAAGATGGGAAAACGTGCCACGGAAAGATGCGTTGACCGCGGGTTGGAATACGACAAGGCACATGCAGTACTTATCTGCCCCAGATGGTACGGAGAAGGAGAGGCTTTAAATTTGAAGCTAAGGGATACACTAAGGCCAAATAACACAATTTGGATAATGTGTAACGAGGAAAACCAATGGAACTTAGTGGAAGAGTTTTGCAGCGCAATAATTAGCATTCGAGAAAAAGTACGGCGAAACTAAGCGGCAGGCCAGAGCGGAGTGGAAGAATACAACTGTGATACCCGCCCAGTCTCTGGGAAAAGGAAAGGAGAAGGGGTTTAAGTGGGTTCAAGCTCCACACTACCCCCACAGTACACCCATGTGGTGGTGTGCGCCAATTCCTTCACGAGAGGGAAGAAAAGTGATGTTTTTGACATAATACAATGGATGCCATTGTCCTTGTGCCACCACCACATGGAAGCATCTTCCTAAAACATATATCGCTCCCATCCAGTTTTCAGTGCAAGCTTCGTAACCTGTTGTGGCTTACCTGCATTTGGCGTGGCATTTGCATCCGAACTGTTTTCAGAAGAATCGTTTGCAAGTACATCGTTAATTTGTGACACCCACTTAATGATAATGGCTTCAATTGCGCTCTTTAAGTACAAATCACAAATTTTGCCGTTGCTTTCGATTAGCAGCTCCTCCACTTCTTGAACTTTTTCCACGCCAACAGGCATGGGAAGTACAGTTTGCCCATTCACTTGACCCTTCACTTGATACACAGTACTTTTCAAACTGTGAACGTGTTTTTGAACATCCTTCGCAATCACAGTAGGCCATCTGTCGTGATTGGTCGAATTGGACAGTAACGGGACCAAAACCTGCAAACCTGTTGTTGTGAAATGAACGTGGCCACGAAAAATTAATACTTCATCCACTAGCGACGCTAGTTGGTCAACAATTTTACAAGCCAGGTCACCCATGATAATAGTATCGGCGGGAGTTATCTTCGAAACGGGCATTGCAACTTTCTTTATGAAGTATACACCTACAACATTTCAATATCAGCACACAGTGATTGAGATGCCAAAGAGACCTTTCGTTTTTAGTTGCACTAATGGAAATCCATTACTTGCAACCAATTGGGCAGCTGGTGTTAGTACAATGACTAAGAGTAGCGGCAGAGGACGCTCGAGAAATTTCATAACTACGGCTTTGTGCTCTTCCGTTGCCATCATTCTAGACCATTTTTCAGGTTTTAACCTTAACGTTTTTTGGACAAATGTGCCTAAATAGTCATTCCTATTATCTATCTGTGGGGGTTGGTCCATGGTCACCTGCAATAATTGACAGTTTCAATTGATTGAATTAGTACGAAATTAAGGACAAATATGAGGGATTTCCGCTCCGATTATCATTAATGTGGCGAACATTCCAGAAAATGCTATAGCCATCGAGGCGCCATGAAGGAGTTGTCATCGGCGATAAAGAACGAAGGCGGATGTGACGTAATCTTTCCGAGGATATAACGTATTTTATTCTAGAATGTTCGCGACCGCTCGGGACACTACTATATCAGCAAATCGGATTACGTTACAGTTGAGTTCCAATTACGACGCCGAAGGAATAACTAGTACACGCTGTGAGAAATTGTGTTTTCGTGAGTGACAAACAATATTTTACTGTTATACATTTAAATTGTAATAAATATAACCAAAGTAATTAAAATTTACTTTACACTGGTGACTGGTTTGGGGTTGTGTTAAGTGGACAACTAGTGAAAGTTTATGCCAGTAGTGACCAGAAAAATGGAACAACTGATGCAATTAATACAAGAGATGAATGCCGGTCAAGCTGGTCAACAATCAATGGAAGCTAAAATCGAAGCGGGCCAACAAGAAGTACAGGGTGTCCAAGATAAGATCGAGGATAAAATTCATATGATAGAAAACGAAAGCGATGAACTACGAAAACGATTTATGGCATTGACTGAAGAACGCGAAACGAGTGACTTGTCATCTGTGAGAAGAACATAAGGTCTACTTGCTGTGTTCCATAATCGCCCCCCCCCCCCCCCCCCGAAACGTGTGAGAGTATTGGCATGACGAAAGTTCGGGTTACGCCACCAACAGCCGCCGCAGATAGAAATAAGTGGACTGTGGAAGAAAAGGTAACTTTTCTGATGGTTGCTTTACGTGAAGATGCGATGGGTGTTTTCCGCATGATTCTAGAACACCAGCAGAAGGACTTCGTATTGTATCACGGTTGGAAGCTCGATATGGAAACAAACACTGGGGCGCTGAGATTGGGATATGTGTCCCAGTAGTAGCTGCAGTGGCATGGTTTGTGAAGACAGCTAAGGATGATGGCACTTTGGAGTAATCCACGTCAGAATTTGACAAGCCAAAAGGACCAGACAAGAGGTTAATTTCCCGGTACGAAGATGTGTTTGCTTCAGAGAGCTTGTGTATTTGGATGACCTAATTGGGTCGATCGTTTGAAGAGTACCTCAAGGCTTTGGAAGATGTGCTCAGGAGGTTGCGCGGTGCCAACCTTCAACTTAGTACAAGGAAGTGTCACCGTTTTAAAAAGGAAGTCAAATACCTTGGTCATCTGGTTTCGAAGAATGGAGTGACAGTGGACCCCAGCCAAAAGAACAACAAAAATAACACATTGACTTCAAATGGGATGATGCATGTGCTTTTGAGGATTTCAAACAAGCTTTACTTACGGCCCCGGTGCTCAGCTATCCTAGAAGAGAAGGAGATTTCGGCCGCTAGCAATGTTGGAATGGGTGCTCTACTGTCCCAAAGGCAGAATCGTCACCAGAGAGTCATCGAACGTTTCAGTAAACCAGAACGCAGAACGCAGAAGGGAATTGCTGGTCGTCATTACGGACATTTCCATAAGTATTTGTATGGGCAGAAGTTTGTCGTAGGGACCGACGCAGTGCGGATCTAGAAGTTTTTAGTACGGGGGCAAATTGGGTATTTTGCCGCCCTTCTTCCCAAATTACCAAATTAAAATTACACGATGGGACCCGTTACAGTTAGGAGATGGACTTTTTGAGAGGGTTGTGGAAAATGATGATGGCACGACCACAAATGTAGTCAGAAAGTACTACAACCATGGTATATCAGGAGGGCAACTAGGAATGACGAAAACCTTGGATTCTACTGGATGAATTGCAAACAAGATGTGAGGGAATGGTGCAGAAAATGTGCAGTTTGAGCCACAAGCAACGGGTCAGTAGGAAAGAAGAAATCACCAATGAGGGTGGTCCATTTGAAAGAATTCCGAAGTAGACGCGTTGAAGTTAATCTCCTAAGCTTGTCGGATTGAGTTGAAGTGTTGTATCCCATCGAATTACGTTTATGTAACAAATTTCAACCGGACCTGTAAAAACCGGATAGAACCTCTATCCAATCCCATTCATGGCACATTACTCTGAATTAAAAGGGCACGCTTTGGTGTTGTCCGTAAGGAATCTCAAGATTTGTCTGAAGCAGGAGCATAATATGCTTTGGCTCACCTCGCAGCCAATGATGTCAAGATGTCCCTGGAATTCAAGTTCGGGTTTGGGCGCTTAAGCGAAATATACCTTCAACGTCCCGATGTAGGTAGAATGTGTTTCCTACATGAATAGGGGCGATTTCATTATTATCTGGTAACAAATGACCGGTCTTGGCATAAATCTGGTTGGAATAACAACAATTACAAATTCCAATTCCAGACATTGGGTGTGGTCTTGATAAGCGGGAGTGGTCCATCGTGCGCAATATACTGGAGGTGGTATTCCAAGGCACCACGATTCAAATATAAAGAACGAAGGCCGATTCCTTCATAAAAATATGACTTGTTTGTTCTAGAACAATCTGCAGCGTCCTTGAGCGCTCGAGAACAATCTAGAAAGAATTTTGTTTGCTATGTAAGTGAAAGTGCAGTTCCAATTCCAACGCCAAAGTAATAAATATTTCAGGCTGTTATAAATTATGCATATGAGAGTGATTAACTGTTATAAATCAATTCATCTCAAGCTGTTATAAATTTAATGTTACTGTTATTTATACTGTTCAGTTTAATTGGTCAAAATTTACCTTTCGTGTATTTGATTATTACACCGTTTCAATGGGGTAGTCACAAAAAAATGGAGTGGAGGCAAACATTTGCAGTTGATTTCAAGCGCCGTGTAGCTATCCCGGTGGCATCTCCTTTTTGTATTTTGATTTCGCCAGTGACGTAACATTAAACTTCAAAACCACATAAATTGATTCTTGATGACAAAAGAAATAACATACCTGGATAATTCTACCGTAACACTAACCAAAAAAATCTTGGATTACTGAATTTCTACCTTGCAATGTAGGAAACAGGGGAGAAATGTTTGTTTTTCACCATAAACTCTAAATTTCACATTTGAGGAAGTGAATAATAAAATAGGCTAAATAATTATGTATGCTTCCCCATACATTACTAATAAATTCTAATTAGTAAGTGTACTATAAAAGATTACGACGCGAAATTACCATTTAAACTGTAAGGTAGGTAGGAAAACTCTCCTAAGTTAAAAGAGACCTGGCGGGAGTGAATTTTTAATATCGATGTAAAAAGTCACTAATTATCCGCATACTAACTAGACTTTTATCGCGAAAGTAATGTGTATGAAGTTCAATTTGCCTGAATACTGAATGGAATATCGTAGGAAACTTTTGGAAACCTTTCAAACTTAAAAGTCTCATTTTATAGAAATCTTATAAAAGTCCTCTCTACAATCCTTTTAACCAAATACTGCGAGAAAGAGAAGGTGAAGGTTTTGAAAATATTGCAACAAAATTTCCAGAGTTCATAAATAATGAGTTATGGTAATGGATCAAATGAAAAAATCTCATTTTAAAAGACGACTTGCCTTGTTAGGTTCCGCTAAAGTCTATTTCTTATTTATATCAAGAACCAATAAAAGATTTATTACAATTTTATATACATTCAAGAATTTTAAGACGCTGCTCAAAGTCGATACTCCGGGGAATAAATGTTCCAACGTTTATTGACAGAGCCATGTTAGATAAATCTTTAGCTAACCTGTAAATACCAATCTAAATAATTGCGCAGCATGTTTTACGAAAATTAGACAGCAACTCAATTATTCGTTCCCTAAATTATTCATTCTCAACGTTCTAGAATAATTATACAAATTTGTATCGCTACATTAACAAATGCATTAAATTCTCCATAGCCACCACCCACTACCGCCATGCACTTGCGTTAGGGTCACAAATCCAAGTAACTAAATTTACAACGTTACAAGTGTGGCTCCTACCACAAAGAAGCATTATACCGCCAATTTTAGCCCAACATAAAATAACTGGGCCACGTTCGCTATTTTCGGAAGAAACATGGACTCCAGCAACAATATGTTGACCAACGCAACTGTCACCAGATACCGGCCCGTGTGGGTTCCTGGTTCGAATCCAGGTTCGGGCATGGATATTTGGAAATGCATAGTGGATTGAGTTGGTAGAGCAGCCTTGGATGAAACCCCGCCCACTCAAAAACAAAGGCAAGAATAAATAAATAGAAATAACCTCCCGACACCTGATCTTTCTTTAACGATATTTGTTACTACCTTCCAATTACAAAAAAAAAATATTTTTGTAGTTCCAATGTTGGTAAGTTATATAAATCCGCCGTTTAAACAATATATTGATCGTTAACATTCAATCAATCCGGTTTCTTCTTGTGTCCTTTCCTGAATGCCATGTAAGAATATAGGACCTTTCTGTTGGGCCTTGGCAAACAACTGTAGCTTTTTTAATCTAGCGTTTGGTAATATGGTCTTGGAGACGAACAGTGTCACGTGGGCTGAGAGTACGTCAAGGACGAGCGGATTGGTTGTAAGCATTTTTTGCGTAGTTTCTATACGATGTAAGTGGTTCAAGTGCTTTTCCTGGTTCATATAGTTGTTACACCATGGGGTGAGTGAACAGCCACTGCGCTGGGGACTGCCGATTCGCTATTGGTGTATTTCGAAGTTCAATATTGTTTTGATTTGGGCATTTAAGTACGAAAGGAAAACCTGATTATCGGTCAGCGAAAACCATGGACGATTTAGAGTATTTAGACCCTATGCTAAACATCTGCACTGGTTATTTCAAAACATCTGGTGGGGATTATTTCTTGGTAAAGCGGTTCACGAACGTTGGATGGAGCCAATTTTGCACGTTAATGTAACAGGCCTCCACATTTGCTTTAATATAAGTAGTTTGATAGATCGTTCAATTCCCTGGTGAGCCGCTTGGAGTTGTTATAGCACCCTCTTTCGGCTTTTCTAAGGGATTTCTCCTTTTAGAATTAGTTTACCTGATAAAGAAAGGTCAGATTTTAATTGTTTAATGAAGTTGGCAAGTTTTTCCTGTTCTGGGTCTGAAATAGGAGCTCGAGATATGGTAAAATTAGGAAAGTTAAAAGAACCGATTTAGCAATTGTTGTGTGTCTTTTGGATTGAGGGGGCACTGGAAGTTTCTCGCGAAAACATTTTTAAAACATGAGCGGTTGTGATGGTTTACATTGATTTTTCTTATATTTTCATAATGAATTTGTTACTTACCACCAACGGAGTACGTCTGCACATTGCTCCATAAGCACTTCCGCGCTATAACAAAAGTTACAATACACATCCGCCACCGCATTCCGAATAATCCGATATTTTAAAGGGATGTTATTTACATGCAGAAACCAAAGAAAATTAGTTACTCTTGGAGTAAACTAACTAAGTAATAATAATACGAATATTTCAATATTTGTGATATACACGAATACTGTACAATTAGACGACTAAATTCACTATAAATTTAAAAGTTTAAGCAATACGTCTCGCGAAATACCATAAATGTAAATATTCTACTCAAATTTCATGTTGAGTTGTTAATTTTATAAAGCTGTAACGGATGTCTGATAACGCTGACGAATTATTTATTGTTAATTATTTATTTATATGTGTGAAATGGATCTTACATCTGTAAAACTAAAACCTAAAAGCCAGCTTCCGCCGGCTTTGATCACGCCACCCATACTGTAATACACATACAATCCTCCAGCCATCAGTAGATTCTATTAGTGTGACGTCAAATTTGAGCGGGAGATTCGAATTGCAGGACTTGGCTGTCGAAGATATTGACCCCTATCGCCCCATGCATTAAGTATCACTTGTAAATAGGTCCTCTTTACGGGCTTATACTCAGTACTGTACACGTACAAAGATCAAAAGGTATACGCAAAAAATTTATTAACTCAAAAGTTTATGACAAGAACCAAATAGTATACAAAATAGTATACACTGCGTTTCTGCTATTAAATCATAGATTATAGGCTATTTTATTAAAATTTCCAGAAAGTATACGGCGTCCCTCCAATACAGCACTGCTTATACTGACATTATGCAAGTTAAATAAACTCTTAATATGCAATAATCATTAAATAAAATCAATTAATTGTGTTATAATTGAAAATTAAAAATATGTCTGCCATATTTATACTTTACGGTTGGCAGTAAGGAATTATCATAACATATCTTACCAGGGCCGGACTGGTTTGTAAATTCCTACCGGGAAATACCTTTATAAGGTTTTTTTTTGGGAAATCGTGTAGGAATTGTTACCATGCAGTTAGCTAACGAAACAATACAGATACACACAACTGATAAAATAAAAATATAAGGTAAGTTTCTATTAAAACTAATTCTACGGTTAGCACCTTTCTGATTTCAAAATTATTTAAAGAAATCAAATGCGGGCTAAGTGAACCCTCAGTCCTCCAAGAATTGAACGTTTGTATGCCGAGACGACGGTAATGCGCGATTAGATTGTGCTTAATTGCACTTTTGTGTCTTTTTGGTTTGAGAGATATTTGGTGGGGCGCAGTGAACGCTTAACCAATAGTAGGGGAGCCCAATAGGGTATTTTGTAATTTACTGGAGCGCGTCAGATTAAAGTAAAGAGGGCTGACTATGTGTTGAAAAGTGTGCATTTTAATAATCAGACCATTTAAGTGTGGCGTGGGGGAGTGGAAAGGTCACAAACTTGCAACGTTACCTCTACATCCTCAAGTGAGTTGGAATTTTTTTTATTTCGAAGGAACGCCAAAGTGAAACAAAACGTCAAGTCAAGTTCAGTGTGTTCAGCAGTTGAAGAATGTTAGTTGACTGATATCTAAGGCGGGCGTGTCATAAATTAGGGTGCGTTTATGTTGGAGCCGCGATAAGTGATAAGAGCGTCGATACTAGCGAAGCGAAGAAAAGTATAAATGTTTGCGCATGCACACATCTGATTTTTACAATATGCGATATGCTTGCCTTTACTAGAAGAATCTTTGGTTAAAATTTCAAAAAAATATCTACATATATACATAAGAAAGATGGCATTGAGCAGTTTGCGCATATTATTTGTCAAGATTTTTCTTGGTTGAGGTGCCAGAGGTATAAGATACCGAATGGAAAAAGGACGAACTAAATATTTTGAAATCTGGAAGAGTAGGCGGACGGACGGCCATAATAGCGTCTTCCTCAATTTGTACACAAAATTGTATAAGAGTATACACAGGGGAGCTAAGCGTTCACTTAGCCGTCATTTAATTTTTCTAAATATTTCCGAAATAGAGGGGTAGAGATTGTGAGAGTGGAAGCACAATAGAAGTACCTACTATGCAGTGCCGTCGTTCCAGTGTGGAGGAGTTTAATTTTTGGGCAGGGTTTATATACATTAGTGTTTTATCCTGCAAGGATTATTTATAGGTAAAGGTCCTACCTAACAATATTTTATCGTGCCATAACATTATTCGGAAATATACGTTTAACACAAGAGAAACATTGATAAATTCTTGTTTTGAAAAGTAGAGGAATGCTTTAAATCTCACCGGAAATCCTTTTTCTTTAATAACTGTTCAAAATAAAATCCGGCTTAGCGGGTAATCCGTGTAACCAATGCCCAGATAATCGAGTTTCTACTGTAATAATAGCCATTTACTTATTAATAACAATATTAGGCATTGAATTAGGGCCTCCGGTGGCCAGGGATCCCCCGGGAGATCTCCCGGTATCCCTCCCCTCATAAAACCTTGATTTTTTGAAATCCAACTACAAATATAATGGCGATATATAAAAATTTCTAAAATATCCAAAAAAAAAGAAAGCCAAAAGGAAAAATAAATTACTTTTTTCGAGCTTTATAACCCCTATTGCGTTGTTCACTTTGAGTAGAAACACCCTGTATATGGAATATGTGCTGAATACCCAATTGATGAGCGCGGCTGTCTTGGTACAACAGATACCTAAATTTCATGGAACCAAAATACGACCCAAACAAACAAAAGTTGCCCTAAATCGTCAAATGTGGGACTTCCCCATATTCCCGTGAGGTCCGGGCGTAAGGAACACCCCCCCCCCTTAATCTTGTTTTTCTGGAGATTTCGTCATCTGCATGGTCATCTTCACTTTCTGATACTTCACTATTAGCCTTTTCTGCTGCTACTTTTTAACTGCATAATGTGAGCTTTCTTATTTATATATATTTTTTAAAATTTTAATCACAGATGCTTCTAGCAAAGACAAGCATTTCTCAATCTCATATTGTAAAAATCAGATGTACGCTAGAGCATGCTGCGCAATGCACATTTCCTTATATATAGAGATAATTTTTCGACATTTTAACCAATGCTTCTTCTACTACAGGAAACATATCGCCAGGCATATCGCATATTTTAAACATCAGGTGTAAGCTTGCGCAATGCTAAGTTTCTTATTTATAAGGATATTTATGTCTTAACATATTTTGCTGTACACATAAATAGTCCGTTATGTGACTTTTCGGCAAGTACTAATCAATTCATGGAAAATGGGCTAAAGTCACTCCCCTTAAGGTGAAAACCTCTTATTCATTTTTGTTTTAGTTAAATTAGGATTATCCTATTTTCTTGTAGTAGTACAATACAAATCACCGGCAGTTCTTGGTGGTATTGACCATTTTGTTGCAATAAGTCGAAGATGGAAGGTTTACGACGATTTATCGAGTAGGATCAAAAAATTTCCCCCGCAGTAAGTACATTTTTATTAATATATAGTATCTAGGTACCGGGCACCTAACCCTATTATTAATCTAATTAATTTATAGTCAATATAGTTTATTCATAGGGTGATTCACGTAGTCCGTCCGTTAGAAGTTTTTATACTTGCAGTTGAAATAGCGACTTGAAATTTGGTTTACAAACATAACCGACCATTGCGAATTGAAATAAAATAATTTCAAGATGGCGCTCTTTCCATAAATACCGGAAGTGGTGCCATCTTGTTTTTTTAAATAAAACTAAACTTTAAGTACCTAGCTGTCATAGTTTTTGACATATGTCAATTTTTCTCGAAAAATTTAAAGTTGCAAGGGCCCATTCAGAAACTCATATCTCTTAAACATAAGTGATCGTCCTATCTAATACTGAAATCCTTAAAGTCTAAGGAATTTTTGAGTGACCGCCGAAAGTCTAGAAAACGTTTCCAGAGCTGCTGCGATTTTTCAAAGTTACCAATAAAAAAATGTCAAAAACTTCAGTTTTTCAAATTGCGAGTTGCAACTACTACTTCTGGGGCCAGAAATGAGTGTAGAGCTAAATTTTGGGGCCACTTTTATTAACATTCTGTATATCGGGTAGTTATTGAGCATAGTATATTATGCTATTAGTTTGAGAGATATTAATTTTTGAACGAATCCTTGCATTTACAAATTTTTAGAGAAAAGTTGACATACGCTATATTTATCGATATTTCTTGGTAGGATTAATGGAGAGGGGTCTCTTTACACAGTTAAAGGCCGTTTGGCATACTTTCAAACTGTATGCTATATAATTAGTAAAAAAGTAATCGTAAACGATTTACAAAAAGCGCATTTTCACTTGCATTCATTTCCCATTTGTAAGATGCAACTTCTGTTAAAATCGTAAAAATCCGGCCACAAATATGAAAGATAGCGTTGCAAATGTGCAATCCATTTTTGACGTGCTACTTCAATTTCAGTTTATAAGAAGAATTTCATTTCAATGCTTTCATAAATAAGAAAGTTCGAACTGCGCATGCGCTAATCTAAATTTTGAAACTAACGTTAGATTTTCCTTTGTTTCAAGCGCTTATGTATCAAATTTCGTTTAAATTCTTCTATAAATCAAAAAGTTGGCACTGCGCATGCGCAAAATCAAATTTTGAAACTAGCGTTAGATTTTCATTTATTCCAAGTGCCTATGTATCCAATTTCATTCAAATACTTTTATAAATAAAAAAGTTTGCAATTCTGTTTATAAATGGCCGAGATGCGAAAAGGGCACTGTGAATTTTGAATCGATTCGACTCAACTTTTGGCATTGCGTATTATATGGCTAAAGTTATGCCCATATTGAATTTCATGCAATTCAGTTCATAACTAACGGAGATGTCAAAGCGATCGGACATTTCTAACCAAAGTTATCGTTCACACGGACAGATAGAGGGACAGGCAGACAAAGGAACAGATGGACAGAGCAACAGACAGACGACAGACAGCAATACAAAATTATAAACGATCTCTAGGATCGTTAATAAACGGCAAAAGTGTAAAATTATGGAACATGTAAAAAACGGTTTTTTGTTTTTTTACAATAACTTTTTTTGTAAGCGGTACAGAAAAAATTCCTTCCTTGGTACAAGACTCGACACCATAACGAACCAAATAGCGAAAAAAGTAGAACAATAGCTCTTAAGATAAAGAACTAGTACCGTCTCAACGAACGAGCGGACGGATGGACAGTGGCCAC